ATATATTATTTAGCTAGTTTATCACCTTGTGATATTTTCATTTTTGTGCTGCTGCTCTAACTTAAATAATTTATTGTTTAAAAATTTCTTTTTATTTAAGTTTGTGTTGTGTTTAAGTTGTAAGAATGCAAAATAATTAAACTCTAAAACTGATCAACAGTGTATTCTCCATGTAGCACTTAAGTGACTATATAAGGTCAATAATGGGAGCATTGAAAATGTTCTTTGGAAAAGTAACTCAAAAAATGTATTTTAACAGTAATGCATTACTTTTTGGTGTGAGTAATCGATAAAGTAATTGAGTTACTTTATAAGTGAAGTAACTAGAAACTGTAATTACTATTTTTCAGTTACTAGCACAACACTGGTTATAGGAAACAAAGTCAATTGTGAGATGTACAACAGCTACAAGAATCAGTCACGATTACAGTATCATTCAAATTACATTCCGATTGAGAAGTATACTGTAAAGCCAGTTATGAGAAACAAAACTGTCATTTAATTATATTTTCAGCTAAATTATAAAGTCACAGTGTGAAAAATCAAGCGGTTTGAAACTGAGAGTATCTCTCAGTATCATTTTAGGACATTATATGCCACACTGTGAGATACTTTAGAATTAGTTTTGGAAGACAAAGAAACAACAGGGAAATTGAGTAAAATTGTGATTAACAGTAAAGTCATATTGTAAGATATAAGCTCAGTGAAACAGCAATATACTTTAAAAAATCTTATTGTGAGCTTTGCCCTTACATACAGTCTATGATCTTACAAACTGTACTGTATTTGACCACTCGTGACTGATCTCAACGTAATTTTGATAATAAGATCATAACATACTGGCAGGCTTCCTAGCAAGAGAGTTTGTTCTCTGACAAAAGAAATCATTTATGATTGCAGAAGCGTGGCAGAAATCAAACACCGCATGCACCGATTAAGAGTGTGAATGTAAGCTGACCAAATGAGTGGGCGCATGTTCAGTGAAAGGTGTGAGAATCTGCTGTGTGTGTGTGTGTGTGTGTGTGTGTGTGTGTGTGTGTGTGTGTGTGTGTGTGTGTGTGTGTGTGTGCGTGTGTGTGCGCATACACTTTCTCTTTTACCCCTGAATCAAAGTCTCCTCACACACAAACCAATCTAAGAAGTCTGGTTGAGTAATGTGATCAGCGTACGGTTTTCACAACTGTTGATTACATGCCCAGTTTAGTTACTTCATCATTTAGCTTTACATCTCACCACAAATAAAACAGGCCCACTGTGTGCACAATAATAAGATCAACCGATCATGTAATGTGCTAAATTACACACACAAACACAGCTTCAGCAAACAGCATTTGGTAGGATTTGTGATTGTGTTTCTCTGGCTCGGTTCAGTGGGAATGTGCCTATGTGCATGAAGACAAGCAATCAAAACTCAGCAGGTTTGTGTAGGTTAGTGTACGCTGACTGATTTAATTAAAGTCTGGAGGACAATCATTTACTCCAGACGGCAGCTTTCAAGGCCTGGAGGCTCTAAGAAACGACATAGTAATAAGGTATGATTGTTCATAAATGTCTTCAGTTCATCAACTTCTGCTAAGAAGTGAAGATGGATTCAATAGAGTGCAACAGTGGAGTTATCAAGGTTAAAACTTTTTATTATCTCAAAAGGGAAGCAGATTTTTAACAATTACTCATAACTCGTTAGTTACAGATGTTCTTAATTTAGTGCATATGGTTTGGTTAAAAGCATCTGTTTGCATCATTCATTCATTTATATTATTTTTCAGCTTAGTCCCTTATAAATCTGGGGTCGCCACAGTTGAATGAACCGCCAACTTATACAGCATATGTTTTACACAGCGCATGCCCCTCCAGCTGCACCCCATCACTGGGAAACCATTCACTCTCATTCACACACATACACTACAGACGATTTAGCATACCCAATTCATCTATAGCGCATGTCTTTGGACTTATGGGGGAAACCGAAGCACTCGGAGGAAACCCACACCAAAACGAGGAAAACATGCAAACTTTATACAGATATGCCGACTAACCCAAATAAGGCTCGAACCAGCAACCTTTTTGCTGTAAGGCGACTGTGCTACCCACTAAGCCAATACGCCACCCCCCTGTTTTCACCAATTAATCTTATTTTTTTCAAGACAACCATAGTGGTATTTGTGCTGAAAAACTCCATTAAGAATATCAATTAGAATATCACTGAGCAAAGTGCAATAAAAGCACCCCTAAGGAAGTAATGGAGTCAATCTCCATATACACTTTCAACATACTAAAATATTTGTATAATCATATGCATATAACGCAAAAGCATGAAATATTTTGTTTCTGTATATACAATCACTAATTTTTTATTAAAAATTTTACATTTAGCCATCAAATTTAATATGATTATGTCATTCAGTGTTTCAGTGTATTGTAGTTTCTTAATACAGCCTTTAAGACCACAGTCTTAAATTTATAATTTTTTTTTATCAGATTTTCATTTACTTCTTTGCTTAAAGGGTCACGAAACACCAAAACACATTTTTGAGAGGTTGGCAGTATATATGTGTGTGTGTATATATATATATACATACATATGTATGTATATACATATATATACATATATGTGTGTGTGTGTGTGTGTGTGTGTGTGTGTGTGTGTGCGTGCGTGCGTGCGTGCGTGCGTGTGTGTGTGTGTGTTTAAGACATTCATTCATTCTCTTTTCGGCTTTGTGAATTTATTAATCAGGGGTCGCCACAGCGGAATGAACTGCCAACTTATCCAGCATACGTCACAATGGAATTATAAGGTTCTATCTGCGTTCTAAATGATTTTGAGATATTCAAAGTTTTTGCAAATAGTATATGTGTATGATTTGGTTTTTAAATAAAAAGTCTTAAAAGGTAAACAACTTATAAAAAAGCATCCCATAATGTAAACAAGATGTCATTTAATAAGAATATGTCAATAACTCAATTTTGATAAAAATGTCAGATAGTACCTTATAATTCTAAGGTGACAATATATTTTACACAGCGGATGCCCTTCTAGCTGCAACCCATCACTGGTAAACATCCATACATGCTCATTCACACACATATACTACAAACAATTTAGCCTACCCAATTCACCTATAGCACATGTCTTTGGACTTGTGGGGGAAACCTGAACACCCAGAGGAAACCCGCACGAACACGGGGAGAACATGCAAACTCCACACAGAAACGACAACTGACCCAGCCGAGGCTCGAACCAGCAACTTTCTTGCTGTGAGGCAAATGTGCAACCCACTGCACCACAGTGCAGCCCTAGGACACATATATTTCAAAGTAGGACACATATAAAAAGTGAAATATATGTTTAGTTAATTTGCTCATCGGATATAAAAATTAATTTTAAAGCTACGTTAAGGCATTCAGATTATTTTGTAAATTCCAGAGTGTAGATTTACACCGGCCGGTACAAAGTGACGTCACCGAGTTTTCAGCACATCTGTTCATTAATTCATGAAAAAGACTTGGTTTGAACCAATCAGCATGCTCTATTGTGAATGATATGCAACTACATTAATATGCATAATATAGCTTTGAAGATATTTTTACTTGTAATGCTGAGTTCACACCAGACGCGGAACGCGCGGATAAATTGCGCTATTCGCGTGTAAATAGCTGCGTGAATATTTGAGTTTACTCACTTCTTTCACACGTCAAACACCGTTTTATTTGCGCATCAAATCCGCTTCACTTGCGTGTCAAATTCACTTCAGAACAGACACGGATTCGCGTGATGGGCAGGGCTTCTATCTGCCCGGTGACTCTAGCTTCGTTGCTAAATGGCTAACAGGGATTTTATGAAAAAATAACAATGTTTATGTGCTTTATGAAGGCTGAAAAACAGCGTCAATACGTTTAGGGCTGTGTCTGAGTCCACTAGATCCTTTCAGACATGCATCAACCTCTATGAGCTCATAAACTTATCCAGAAACTGTACCTGGATGATAGAGGCTTTCAGTTGTGCTTCTGACTGAGCCGAGCCCAGTTTGATTAACTTTTTGTTGGTGTTAGCTGGAGGATTTCCCCCGGGACACCAACAACAGGCGATAAGTCACAATCACGCCTCCACAAGAGCAAGCTCCTTATTGGTTAATGTGGCACGAATGTCCGCTGAAGTTTAGATTTTCGAACTCGACCTCGAAATCGCTTAATTTGCGCTGCGCCATTCGCGCTTATCACGGCATTCGCATCGCACCATTCGCTCAATTCACGTCATTCGCGCCATTGGTGCATATAGCACCACAGGATGTTTATTCGAGCATTTGCATCGACTTAACATGTAAATCACTCGCGCTTGACGCGCGTTCCGCGTCTGGTGTGAACGCAGCATGACAGTGTTCAGAGAGATACAATGTGCAATGTTGTGTTGCCAACCGTGATTCAAACAACTGGAAGAAGAATTGTTCAGAGACATGGGTCATCAGTGTTGCGTTTATAAATGTGCAGCAACAAAGTTTTTTTTTTTCCATTTCCCTGCTATAACAGTACAGCTCACTTGATGGCAAAGTTAGTAAGTGAAGTCAGCATTACTCTTAGTTTTTAAAGACATAATTTAGTCAAAATGATTTCGTTACTAAGTTTACAGTAATATCTCTACAATATTATGGACTAAAAATCCTCCACTTCCACACAGCTCTCAGATCCACTGTAAATGCTGCTCTCTGTCTATCTCCCCTGCATCTGTGTTTGTGTTGCCGGTGTGAAAATCAGATGTAGTGCACATGTAGTGGGGGGTTTCATAGCCCTTTAAATCAATAATTGTTAATGTTGTGATGTTTCTTAGGACTGGTTGGTTTGGTTCGTTGATTGTAATGCTTAAAGACTTTTATAAAAATCCCTATGAGAAAAATTAATGGAAAATTCTTCCAGAATCAGCGCTTCTGAAAATGGGAGCATGCAACAATGCACATCATATAACGTTGAGGTAGAAACAAAAAAATTATGCTTGGCAAGAGACTTACGTTGGTTTAGAGGCCTCTGCTTGATCTGTCTGAAGTTTCTGTCCTCCTTCCACCTCCATGGTGCAGTAAACAATTCGGTTTGGTGCTAAAGACTTCAGACCCTGTACCTCCATGATCACCACCTGTGAAGTAAACATGAAAAGAGCAATGAAAAAAAGACTCTTAAAAAATGACTGCCTAGTAGAAAATACAATCAAAAATAGCTGATGTTATCAAAGTCAAGGAAAATGTGTTGCGTTGGCAGCCGTACAGTAGTTATTTCTGTCATTCAAGGCTCTCTTTACACCTAGTAGTAATATGTGTTTTTGTCAATCCAATCACAAACGGATAATGCTGTACATGCTGTAGCAGTACACAGGATCTAATATGATTTAAACACTTTTAGAGGTAGTCAAAATGCACTGTATTGAATTGTTTTCATTTTCAATTGCTTTTAAAAACTAATTTGGTGAAATATAATGCCACAAACAGCCACAAAAGACTGTCTACAATCTGCTACTGAACTAAATTGTAATTATTGTTAGATGTTTGTGATAAAGCATACAATAACAAGGATACATACATAACTGCTGTACCAAAACACACAGATTATAAGTGAATTGGCAGTTGCCAGCCACATGCTTTTTAACTAACTTGATTTCCTAATAATTTCTAAAACATGTAACATGGGTTTGATTATTTAACAGCTCCCACATAAGTTATGCAGAGCAAAAAAGGGTAACAATTTACAATAAGCACATGAATAATGCTGTCTTATTATGTGAACTACACATTACTTTATTATGAACTAATGATGAGTTAATGTATGCGCTGAAAATGAACTAACTTTAACTACAACATGAGACACATGAGTTCATGTGTGAATAACGGCTACCTTAATTACTTGGTAGTACATGTTTTTTTTTTTTTTTTTTGTTAATTAATGTATCAATTACCACATTAGTTTATGCTTAATTTAACCACCATGGACTCATTAGCTGTTAGCATATAAAGTCATGACTTTACTTGGGGGGGCTGACATAATGACATAATTATACTGTTAATGTATAATTATGTCATGACTTTACTTAAAGGGCACATCACTATTAACTCATTCTTAACTACTAATGAACTCCTTATACATGTCCAACTAGTGTGTTTACACTGAATAACAATAGAAAAGTGTTCTGTTAACAGTTTAAACACAGGACTTCATGAGCAATTAAGGATGAGTTAATGGTGATGTGCCTCGTCAAGTAAAGTCATGACATAATTACACATTAACAGTTGCTGAAGATTCGTCGGCTGCACATCCATGATGCAAATCTCTTATTCAACCACATCCCAAAGGTGCTCTATTGAATTGAGTTATGGTGACTGTGGAGGCCATTTGAGTACACTGAACTAATAATCATGTTCAAGAAACCAGTTTGAGATGATTCACGATTTATGACGCGTTATCCTGCTGGAAGTACTGTAGCTATCAGAAGATGGGTACACTGTGGTCATAAAGAGATCCCCCACACCATTAAACCACCAGCTGCAGCCTGAACCATTGATACAAGGCAGGATTGATCCATGCTTTCATGTTGTTAATGCCAAATTCTGACCCTACCATCCGAATGTCAAAGCAGAAATCAAAACTCATCAGACTAGGCAACGTTTTTCCAACCTTCTATTGTAAAATGTTTATTTTCATTCTCTATAAATCCTAGAGATGATTGTGCATGAAAATCCCAGTATCAGCAGTTTCTGGAATACTCAGACCAGTACGTCTGGCACCAACAACCATGTCAAGTTCAAAGCCACTTAAATCACCTTTCTTCCCCATTCTGATGCTTGGTTTAAACTTCAGCAGATCGTCTTGACCATGTCTACATGCCTAAATGAATTGAGTTGTTGTCATGTGATTGGCTGATTAGAGATTTGCGTTAACAGTTAGACAGATGTACCTAATAAAGTGGTTGGTGATATAAACAGTTAACAAAATTTCCTAAAATTGACAAATCAACTTATCCACTTGGATGTAACCACTTTCTATCACTTTCAGCCCATATAAAATCTAGGTTAGGGAAAAGGTGAAATTTGAAAGCTGTTTACACAATGCCATTTTCTAAAGATGAAAACTAAAAATAAAATGGTTTTCCGTTAAAGTATTAAAAAATGATACCCTTTATGGTCTTTGTAAACTGAAAAAAAAAAGTAAAACCTGTAGCTTCTTTTTAATTGTACTCATTCAATGAATCATTTCATCCAGTTCATAATTCAGATTGACTCATTTATGAATCAGACTTTTCAGGCTAACAGCTGGAGAGTTATCAGTGAAATCAACTGGACTTTTAGTGTTTCATAAATGATGTGCATCTTTTTTGAAGCCAATATTGTTGCTGCATTAACAAAAAGCCATTGTTTGTCACATATTTTTATGGATTTTCCTTAGTAGAAAGAAAGCAATTTGAATTTGGAACAGAACGAGAGTGAATAATTGATCCCCATATTGTATTTTTTGGGTGAACTAATCCTTTGACATGCAGGATAAGTTAGATCCATCTTGATATATTGCCACACACACACACACACACACACACACACACACACACACACACACACACACACACAGAGAGAGAGAGAGAGAGAGAGAGAGAGAGAGAGAGAGAGCCGTCATGCATAAGGAGAGTGGATGGGAGATGTGTCAGATAAAGCCATCATCACAAAGGTATCAGTGAAAAGAGAACGAGCTGTTAACACGCGACATACATCACATGGCTTTATTGCCCTCTTCTTCAGGGAATATCTCCTCTCAGATACTGTCACTTGATTAAAGCTAGCTTTTTAGCAGGCTGTCACTGCCACTCAGGATTTTCTGTCTGGTTCGTGCTAAGTACAGCTTGAAAACACACACACACACTCACAAATTTGAAATATTCCTGTCCTCTTTTAAACCTGCACAACAAACAGAAAGTGACATTTTCAATTTGTCGCCCTTTGCAAATCAAAGAGCAATTTATCGCTAGTACACCAGCATGGTTTGTAATATGTGATGGTGATATGCAATGTTGTAATGAGATGTTCAAAGCAATGGCAGCACAAATTAGATTTTCACTCGATAAAAGGAAAGACGGAAATCCAACGTGAGGCCAGTGATGAATGTCAAGATCATCATAGATTCAATTATTTCATCAGAACATTGTTGTGGTCAAATCAATTCCTATCAAATCAGAAGCTAAAATAAGATTGTGGTGAAAAGAAAAGAGGCGATGTCGGGTTTGTATTTGTTTCTTGTGCTCATGTAAATTCTCGTTTCCTAAGTGTGGGCAATGAGATGAGTTCAGGGATATAAAAAGATCTGAAAAGAAGCCAAAAAGATATTTGTGAGAGAATCCATGAATGTCTGATGCTAAGTTATTGGGAATACAAATTGTGCAGGTTTTGCAGATCCAGATTTTAGCTACCACACAGGGTCATACTTTATTTTGATGGTCCATTTTTTGAATTTAAGTTACATGCCAATTAATTCTCATTAGATTATAAGCAGACTGTTAGGTTGGAGTTGGGGTTAAGGTGAGTCTTAGTTGACATGTACCTGCAAAGTTTCTTATAGTCAGTTAAATGTCTGTTGAATGAGCAGTGTGAACAGACATTAAGCAAAGAGTATACTAATGCACAAATGGACCATCAAAATAAAGTGCTCCTCCACACTGTAAAAAGCTATTATTCTCTTTACTTTAAAATATCAGTAAACCCATTGACTTCACTTGACATTTATAAACAGCACATATTTAATGTGCATATTTAATTTAAACATATTTAATAACTAATCGCTTTTTACAGTGCAATCAAGAGTATTAAAGAGATAGTTCACCTAAAAATAAAGTTCTGTCATCATTTATTCACACTTCATTTGTTCAAAATCTATATTTATATATTTCCGTCTTCTGTAAAACATAAAATAAGTTTTTCTTTTGAAGAATCCTGGTAGCTGCACCTATAGACGAATTACCATGTTTGTAAGCATTAAGGATGCGTGCGCAGCGAGGTAGCAGAAAAAAAAAACGAGAGCGCTAGCATATACAGTACAGCGAGAGAATGACATCCTACGTGGTACAGAGTTTGTTGTTGTCTTAGAAATACGTTATATTGATTACATATTATATATATATTATTTACATAATGCTTTCAGCGTATTATAAAAGCTTGTCACACAGTGATAAGCACAGTTATTCTGCAAAATTAACTTTAAAGTGAGCGGCGTTTATCTGACAGGTTCATTTGCGATAGTACCCTACCAAAGGATATTGTATAAAATGAAATAGCCAAGCATCCAGCCCCAAATATACAATCTCATTGTTCTGTGTGGTCATGTCCAAGAAATAATGTTCCATGATTACCAGATTCAAAACTATGTAGTGCTAAAAACTGAGGTTCTGCCTAGCCAAAGACAAGGAAAAAAGACGGAGCTAGTGTTATACCGGGCCTGGGTAATCATCAACAAGCAAAACTACTGCATTCTGACAGCGAACTACACCTGAACTTATGGGAGGGTATGTGAACTTACATATAGGGGTAAAGTTGGTTTTATATTTGCACGTTTGGATTTCTCCTTAATAATATAATTTCATAAAAGTATTATTTGCAAACTCTAAATAGCGTAATCATATTAGCAGCCAATGACTATCAAAGTACAGCATTGTACACAGTCAAATAAACAGTGTTAATGTTGTTTTCAAGTCACACTTGCAGGTTATATCAGACCGAATATTCAAAGTGCCGTGGTAAACAATATAGGATGTGTGTCACAAGTTGTCACTGAATGAATTTGTGAATACAAAACCAACTTTACCTTAATAACTTTGTAATATAAACACTTTCACGTTTCATTCTAAGCATTTAGTGTCCGCAGTTTAATTAAACATGTTTTACTGTTTATGCTGAAATTATTGCTGAAATCAAAAACGTGTAATGTGTATGATTCAGCATAGTGTGAACATACCTGATATAAAATGAGACCTGCAGAGTCGAGCATTTTTAATTAGGTCGTCACTTCATTCAGCTCCCTTTTAAAGACGTCTGCAGTTGGAATTAAAGCAGTGTGGTGTACGGTAAAAGTTAAGTTTTCTATTTTTGGACTTTCAAATTTGGCATCAACACAACATGTTTACTATTGCCACCCGTCTCTTTTTGCAACCAAGAACCCTTGTTATGCCATGTGTGATGTAGGTTGGTAATTTGTCTATTGACTTTCATAGTCATTTCTATTACTACTATAGAAGTCAATGGGTGCCAGCAACCAGCATTCTTCAAAATATCTTATTTTTGTGTGTTCAAAAGAAGAAAGTAACTCAAATAGGTTTAAAATCAGTTCATATAAGTTAAATCAACTCATAAGGTTGATTTAATTTCAGCTTAAAAATTTAAGACAACGAGGATGTTTTTGCAGTGTAAGATGAATAAGTTATGAACAATACTTTTACAGCATTTATTAATCATAGTTCCACATTTAAAAATGCATTATTAACATCCAAATTCATGCTTGTTACCATTAATTAAAGCACTGTGAGTTAAACTAACACTGAAAAACTGTATAAGGTTAACTAACATGAACAAATACTGTACACTGTAAAAATGCAGGGTTCCACTCAATTCATCCATGTTGTCCAAATAAAAATTAAGTTAACTTAAAACTTTTAACAAATTTATGTGGATTGAACATAAAAAAATGAAGTTGTCCAAATGAAATCTTAAGAATTGTGTTGTTTCAGCTCATTGTAAATAAGTAGTTTGAACGAGCAAAAAATATTTTTTGAGTGTAGTAAATGCATTGTTCATTGTTTGTTCATGTTAGTGAATGCATTAAATGACAATACCTAATACAACCTTATTGTAAAGTGTTACCAATTAATTTTACTAATACCAGTAAATGGACTGCTGTTAACCTTGGTAGATCATATGTATGTATGCCTTTAGAAAATTCCTAACTGTGTTTTAATGCCAAAAAGACGTAGTAAATTATCTTTTATGTATTGTATTCTAAATTAAATTTGGTTCATGCATTTTATTCTGAAACCCAATTCAGATCATTCCACAGATGTACTTTATAGTTGTGGTGTAAATCAAAAGGCTGCTTGTTCAAATGGCTGTTTTTTGGCCTAAAAATAAAAAGAGGAAAAAGGGAAATTACCTAATTGCCTAAATTAGTTTATCTCAGGAGTCCTTTGAGATATCTACCTCAGTTGTAAAATATGAGCATACTATTTTCTCTTTTATTTTGTCCTTTGTCACTTACCTCAGCTATAGCTAAATTTTGACAAAAAGGATCTAAAAAAACTCAAAGACGTTTTATAAAACTAACATCATGCTAATAAGTTACAAACTATCCATAACATCCTGCTTTTCCTTCATATGCCGCCATATTTGTCCTAAATTGTTGTCAACCCACAAAATAATTTCACCCTAAGCTGAAAGATAAATGATGTATATCAAAGTGTTTGTCTCTTGTGGTTTGAATACAGTCAGTGCTTTTTTAGACAGGGATATTACACTAATCCAGAAATATACACCACACTTTCTATAATATAAACTTTAAACAGCATTTTGTTCATTGTAGAAATGAACTTCTACATGCTTGGTGATCAGCCAATCCGTTATAAACTGCAGTCTTGACATCGATACCTATGAGATCTCCTTGTTTAGAGTGTCACGAGGTCATGTTTTGAACAACATTCCCGGAAAAAGTGACACTCTAATCCATGCAGTTAAACAGGAACACTTACCTCCAGTGTGAAAGACAAAACAACGTCAGACTTGGAGAGCTGGTTCTCGTCCTCCTGGCCCATGTCAATGATGGATGTGTTGTGGCCTCTTTTGAGCTTCTGCAGTTTAAACTCTCCTCCTTTGGACACTGGCATGCTTTCCAGATTGGCCATCAGCAGGTTCACCGATGACTTCAGCTCCTCAATGTACATGGCCTCCATGTCCCTGGACACAAACTTAGGGAAGCGGCCAGCCTGTTCAAGCAGGTAAAGAGAGAAAAAACAATTCTTTAGAATTAGAATGTCTTAATTGGCATTGTACAATGTGCATCTACATTTTTTTTTTTGACTTCCAGTACAAAAAATCAACAAGCACACACATACAATGGCAAGTGAAACATGTAAAGAAATATAGAGCAAATAGTGCAAGGCAAGTACAGCAAGCAATGACAACATTGCAATAAATGTTTTTTTACTTGGATGTTTTGTCTTGTTTCTAGTCCAAATATCTAAAAATTCTTAAAATTAAGAAGCATTTTCTAGACAAGTAAAAGATATGATCCTGTTTAAATAAATAATAAGTCAATTTTTAGTGATTTTTCCTTAAAACAAGCAAAATATTCCTCCAATGGGGTAAGCTAAGTAAAGCTATTTTGTTTTCTTTTGACATAAGATTATTTTCCATAAAGAAAAACATTTTTTTGAACAAGCATTGCAGGATAAAGTCCATTAAGTCAGTATTGTACAGAGATTAAAGCAGAAATGAGATGTAGTAAATATTAGAGGTAGACGAATTTTCAACTAAATTCACCTTTATTTGTATAGTGCTTTTACAATGTAAATTGTGTCAAAAGCAGTTTCACAATAAAACTCAAGAGCTTAGGTGCTGAGAAATTAAATATTTAAGTTGAATTTTTTGATGGTATGTTTATAAAAACATTTCAAGAATCCAGAGGTTTGTGCCTTAAGTGATTGATAGCTTTTTCCAGAGTGTATCAGAATGAAAAGAAGTGTGAACGATACTTTTGGCAAATTTTGGGCTCTCATATGCAGATATATATATATATATATATATATATATATATATATATAGTAAAAGTCAAAATTATTAGCTCTCCTGAATTATTAGTCCTCGTTTATTTTCCCCCAATTTCTGTTTAACAGAGGGAAGATTTTTTCAACACATTTCTAAACATAAAAGTTTTAATAACTCATTTCTAATAACTGATTTATTTTATCTTTGCCATGATGACAGCAAATGATAATTTACTAGATATTTTCAAGACACTTCTATACAGCTTAAAGTGACATTTAAAGGCTTAAATTTAAAGTTAACTAGGCAGGTTGGGGTAATTAAGCAAGTTATTGTATAACGATGGGTTTTTTGTAGACTATCAAAGAAACATAGCTTAAAGGGGCTAATAATTTTGACCTTAAAATGGTTTTAAAAACAATTAAACTGCTTTTATTCTAGCCAAAATAAAACAAATAAGACTTTCTCCAGAAGAAAGAATATTATTAGACATACTGTGAAAATTTGCTTGCTCTGTAAAACATCATTTGGGAAATATTAAAAAATAAATAAATAAAAATAGAGAAGGGGCTAATAAATCTGACTTCAACTGTATTTAGAGAGGTTGTCTGTTATCTTAATCACATGCAAATTGGTCATGTGTGTAATTTGAAAAGTAAAAATTCACCTGCAATTTTTGCCAAACACAGTGGTCCTTTGACAGTACTAGTCCTGTGCAAAACATGTATCTAACACATATATCCTTGTGCATCATTTTATCAATTTTTTGATGAAGAGTGGAGTATTTTGAAAGTGTGGTGAGCTTTGGGTCATACAGTATTAATACACACTATACCACACAATTTGCAGAAAGAGAAAGCTGAAAACCATGAGAAGAGCAAAAAACTTATAACATGTATGGAGTTTATAGAAGCGTTTGGTAAGGAACATTGATCTGTTTATGATATTCCTCTGTTTATGATATGATATTTGATTTATATTTATATTTTTTAATCAAACCTCCTTGGAATCATAATCCCAGAGATTATCAGTAAATCAGGAAAAAAAGAGCTTTACTTTGATAAAAGAAAGCAGTTATTAGAAATGAGTTATTAAAACTACTGTATTATGTTTAGAAATGTGTTCTCTCATTTAAACAGAAATTGGGGAAAAACATATAGTTTACAGTGGGGCTAATAATTCTGGAGGGCTAATAATTCTGATTTCAACTGTACTGGGTATGTATGTGGGATTGAGTGTGGTGTGACACATAGTTCCCAGGTAATACTAATTCCATCTAAATAGGGGATAGGAGTGATATAACCAGACATTGTGGTTCTGTACTATATCTAACTGTACTTTGTGTGTAGTATTTAAAGATGGACACTTACTTTTGTGAATTGATCAGCCATTTGCAGTCGCCCATCCAGTTCTCTTCTGATTTGGGCAGCCTGTTCATCAGGATTGTCCAGCTGTAAGACACAAACATTTTACTGGATCTACACTGACATTCCAATCACCTTTACTCCAGGTTACAGGATCAACCTGTATCTGACCTTCAACATTACAATAAACAATGTCAAAATATATCAGCTGCATAGAAAAGGTCATCATTTACTAATACTCACATTCACTGTGTGTTTGTGTGCGTTTACATAAGTTTATTAAATGTAAAAGGGCAATGCAGATCAGACCCAAATAAGAAAGTTCAAAAAGTAGAATGAATTTAATTGATCAAAAGTACAGTAAGAGTAAAATAAATGCATTAATTATTTAAAATATTTATCTTTTAAAAAATTATGGTATATATTTTTGTTAATAAAAATAATCCCCTTTTTCTAATTTTTATTTGTTAAAGAATCCTGAAAAAAAGCATCAGAGTCTACACAAAAAATTCTATTCATTTATGCATTTTCCTTCGATTTAGTCTCTATTTCAGAGGTCACCACAGTGAAATAAACTGCCAACTATTCCAGCATATGTTTTACATAGCAGATGTCCTTTCAGCGGCAACCCAATACAGGGAAACACCCAAACATATAACTATATGGCCAATTTAGTTTTTTATTGAATTCACCAATACCACATGTCTTTGGACTGTGGGGGAAAACCAGAGCACCCGGTGGAAACCCACATTAACATGGTAAAAACATACAAACTCAACACAGAAATCCCAACTGGCCCAGGCAGGACTCTAACCAGCGACGTTCCTCTTATCAGGCGACAGTGCTAACCACTGAGCCACAGTGCCACAAAAATATTACTATAACTGTTTTTGACATTGAAAATGATCTTGAGCATCAAGTCAGCTTATCAATGACTGATTCATTTCTCATAACGTCACCAAGAGAAAGTGACTTTAAAATGTTAAAATTGACTGTTGATCCTTACACAAACATAAAAAAATATATATTTTAATGGATTTTTATGTCACAACCTATTTTAATACGTTAAATGGCAAAATATACAACTGTAACTAAGCACATTTTGTACTGCATAAATGTATGTGTCCATACTCATGTACAGTACTTGCTTCTGAGGACCAAATATTTCTCTCGAGTGCACCATAAAGGAAGTTTGAATCTTTATTCATAATTCTGACTGTCATTTGACAACCAGAAATATATCCTGAGTAATCTACATGGATATGGTGTATATTCACACATACACACACACACACACACACACATACACACACACACACACACACAGACACACACACACACACACAAACAAACACACACACACACACACACACACACACACACACACACACACACACACACACACACACACACACACACACACACACACACACACACAGATAATGGAGATTAGGACATAGGCATAATGTATTTTAAACTGTTTATTATATGGCTCAACCCCATCCCCCAACCCAAACCCAACAATCAGAGGTAATTTATGGCAAAATATTAATGTGATAAGACTAAGTTTGAATTTAAGCATTTTGAATTACGGCGACACAAGGCATGTCCTAGTAAACCAGCTCAGAAGAGTACAACTAGATCATACCCATGTCGTTATACAGAAGTCTTTCTTGTAAACAGAGGTGGGTAGAGTATCCAAAATCTATACTCAAATAAACGTACAAGTTCTTGCAGAATTTTTATTAAAAAAAAGTAAAAGTACCAATCTCAATGTCACCGACTCTGTCCCAGTCATTCCCCTCGCTGGCCAGCAAAGGTCATCATCCACTGACTGATTAGCACTCACACCTGCACTACATTTCCTAATCACCTGGCTCACACTTATAAGCAGCACACACACACAGCTTCATTGCGAAGTCTTGTTCTGCCCCGGCTAACACTACTGAGCGTTCTTTCCGCCTGCTTTCCCGTTGTGATCTTGCTTCGTTTATTGACCCAGTCCTGTCTGTCGCCTGCCTTGTACCTCAGCCTGAATCCCAACTTTGATCCTAACCACCTGCCTTGAACTTTAGCCTGCTTACCGACTCTGATATTAGCCGCCTGCCTCTGACCCATGCCTGCATACTCATCCTGTGTTTACCTGCCGCCAGCCCAACGACGATATACAACTGTGTTTGATGTGAGTTTGCGCACGCACAACATCTGTGTGCTATTTGTTATTAAACTGTATTTAATAAAAATACTGCAAATGGATCCCTCTGTGTCAGCCACTTCGTTACACTTAAAAGTTACTAAAGTAAGAGTAAAAAAGTATTTGATAAAAAAATTACTCACGTAAATAGTTACTGGTTACTTTTCTTTATATATATATACAACTGAGGTCAAAATAATTTGCCCTCCTGTGATCTTTTTTTCTTTTTCAAACATTTCCCAAATTATGCTTACCAGAGCAAGAAATTCTTCACAGTATTTCCTATAATAATTTCTCTTCTGGTGAAAGTCTTGTTTTATATCGACTTAACCCTTGTGTGGTGTTCATATTTTTGTTACTCAGCCAGTGTTTATGGGTCTAGTGGACCCGCTAGAGTTTTGGCTTAACACAATCAAACAATTTAATGGTAAATTACTCAACAAATGTTTAACTAATCCCAATTACAAGCCATATAAACAGCAAACATGGTTAATTTTCCCCTTTACCTTTGTTAGATCAAATTGATGAATTAATGTGCTTCTCGTTTTTTTTTTTTTTTTTTTTTTTTTTTAGTATTATTAATGTTATGAAAAAAATAAAACCCACAGATTTGTTTTTTTGTATTGTTCCCACCATGGTCATGGACATCATCATCAGAAGCTCCTCTCTCCTCCACGATCAATTGCAAGGCCCTCGCAGCAGATAATCTTTTGGCCATCTTGATCACTTGTGTTAAGGTACCATACTGGCAAAGTCTTACTTACTCTGCCCCTAATTTGCAGATGGGACAGGGTATGAGAAAAAAAGCTTGGTTCCCGCAAGAGAGAGAGTAAAATGTGCGGGAAACCATGATTTGTCCTTCACCAAAATTGACCAAAATTGTTTTCCCAAAATTGGGTTCATGTGTGTTCTAATAGGTCTTCTGCAGTATTTGTGATGATCGAGATGCAGTTCAACAGATGATTCATCAGAAAAATCTACCTACTGCCACTTTTCCAAATGATCAACTAGAAGTCAAGCTGTTATTCGTTGCTCTTACAATTAGGATTGACAACAAAACTTTTCTCAGGTAGTGCACATTGCCAAATGTTTTAGGACACCCTTCCAAACACTCAATTGCATGATTTCCAATCCCTTCCATGGCCACAGGTTTATCATATTGATTACAGACATGCAGATACTTCTTCAAGCATTTGTACCATGGTCAACTATTAATGGTTTTACCATATCAAAGTGAAAACAACTGAGAACAATGGCAACTTAGTCACAAAGTAGTAGGTCATGTAAAATCATGTTTGTATGTGTGTATAAGTGAGAGAAAGAGATCTTTGCACACCTTGATATGATTGAGTAAATAAAATATAAGCAGCTCAGCTCTCAGAACATAGTAAACACAGTAAGTGAATTAATGCACACACACACACACTATAATTTGCTGTTTTACTCCATATAACTCCATATAAACGCCAGAAACTTTTTTGCCTAAAGGGTTAATGGTGACAACCGATGATCAACTGTAAAATTTACACATTTTTCCTCCTCCCAACAGGGCAAACCAGCAACAACAAGAATGCATGATTATATGGTGTCAAGTCTTTGCAAACAAAAAAAGTGGTTATAATGGACGTAAATGGTGCAAAAGCAGCCACTAACATAATGAAAGGGTAGTCTATTTGAACAACACAAAAGGGTTTAATAGCCTAAAGAGAAAGAACAACACAAGGGTGTGTAAAGGATGACTTGAATTGTAATTTTCTTGCACAGATGACTAGCCTTTAAGCTAACTGCTTTTAAAGCTAGAAAAATCTTGCTTGCCAAGAAAGATTCACTTTAGTACTACTTTAATTAGCAATTGTTGTTATTCTACCACTTAGGGCCCAGCCAAAAAATCAACACTTATCTGGCAGCCGGAAGGGTATAAAAAGTTCAGCATGTCAATTTTCATCCTACAAACGTCTTTGTTTTTGATTTAAGACCAAGAAAAACAACACCATACGATGTGGCCTATGTATGTTTGATACCAAAGGGTTTGAACTAATGGTAAGTTCAGAGCATTATGAGGGAAGAATTGGCCAGTCAGATCCATGGTCGGGTGGAGAGCCATCTGGACAGGCTGAGTTCACGGTGTCCCCCTTCCTGACTCCAGCTGGGCTAAAATCAGTCCTCAAAAAGCTACAAACACCTACACGCTACCATGAGGATTCCTACATGCAAGTGCACACACAAACACACAGACACACAGACACACAGACACACAGACACACACACACACACACACGCACACACACACGCACACGCACACGCACACACACACACACACACGGACACACACACACACACACACCAATGCTCTTACAGCATATGCAGCGCTCATACAGAACAATGAGTGCATATAATTGTGCAGACAAACCTAATTACAACACATGCTCACACCACACAGGCATGAGTTTGTGTCCAAGTTCTGTCCCACACATCCAGTACATGTACACACACTTCACATGACGCCAGTGTGTGGGAGTTTTCATAATGACATGCCTAATGTTTGTGACAAATAACAGGACAGGTGTCCAAGACACAGATAAGTCTCTTCCAAGATTCTTTCCACCTGTGCTATGATAACTAGCCAGGCAATTTCAAGGTGTTTCAGACCTGTTTTATAGAATTTCTTCAATCCTCAAGCTTTTTTCATAAAACAGGAAAAAACTTGACCTTTGACATTTGAAGAAACCGATTGCAACAAACCATTTTAGTTCAAAAACAAATCCTAATGAGTGCTGCGAAATAAAGAGAACTCAAACCAACTGAGTACTGTAAAACCCAATAATTTAAGGCAACTTAAACCATTTGAGGAAACCAATTGCCACAAACCATTTGAGTTCAAAAAACTAATCTA